GCACTCTCAGGCCATCACCTGCATACTCAGCCCCTATGCCAGAGGGAGGCCAGAACTCAACACACTATGGCAGTCTGCTGAGATCAGAGCCACTACATCAGTGGAGGTTGAAACCCACCCTCTCAGGCTGTCTGCTAGGAACTCAGCCTTAGCCTACCAAAGCCAGATCTGCCCTGGGACCTTGAGAGGGGCCTCACAAAATACCGGTTATGATGGGTATGCTGCAATTAGGGGAAGATCACCTCCATGTGGAAGCAGGATGTGGGAGCTCTCAGGCAGTCCCCTGCATCCTCAGGTCCTCTGCCAGAGGGAGGCCAGAACTTGGCACTCTCTGGGGGGTCTGCTGAGGTCAAAGCTGCTACACCGATGGATTGCGTGTATACATTCTTGACACATGATACTTCATAGCCTCTTCAGTGCCATGTCTCCATGCTGTATAGAACATCTCCAATCAAAGCAGGACAAAGCTGTTACCTAAAAAGATGTAGTATGCTGTACAAACAAAGCCTCGGTAAGATATAAATATACCTCATCCTTACAATCCTTCCTTTCTTCTCCCTCCACATGGACTAAGCAATGCAAAGTATCCTTCTCTTCAGAGTCAATGACTCTTGTAAAATGCAGTGCCCATGTAGAGATTAAGGACTGCTGGTGGATGACAAAATCAATGTCATTAGTACTTTTTTCCTGATGATAACCTTGTTTGGAAATGATAATTTCCTGCCAAGTCACCAACGTATTTTGTTCAGTCTGAATAAAATCCAGAAAAAGTATATTATTTAGTTATTTTAAGAAATTCTTGATTTCTGCCATGTTAAAGTTTAGGCTGAATCTAGTCTCTGAAATTATCAGACAGTTGGCACAGGGTATGGGAATACATGTCAGCTGGACCCCACTTGTCTTGGAAACAGATCAGCATGTCTTGAAGTGCATCTGCTAACTGAAGATTTATGGCTTCTGTAGGTTATGCTTGGCTTGGTTCTGCAAAATAGTAATTGTTGCTTAATAGACTAGAAATTATCATGTGGGATTTGCACCTGTAAGCTTAGAAACTTAAATTTTTCACCTCCATTTATGGTTTCTCTGTATAAAAGCCAACCCTACAGATGGCTCTGGCCTACACACTTGGGCTCTGTCACCTTTGTGTAGTTGCTGGCCAGCAATGACTTTCATTTGGCAAAACGTTGTCTGAGTTATCTTCTCTGGTGAACCACCTCACAATAATGGAATTGTTTCTTACCCAAAATAGAATAACCATTTATAGATTATATAACCTGTTTATTCATTCATATTTTGATGTTCATCATCTCATCCAAGCAAAAGAAAAATATACAAAAATATTCTCTTTAGAATAAAAGAGAATCCAGTAGATTATACCATCAGTTTTTCTTTATGTATTAATTTTGAATGAACAAGCAAAAATTCCATTAATCAGTAGGAAGCTATGGGTACAATGGGGACATTATACATCAATAAAAGTCAACAAGCAACATGTAGTTATCTGGGAAGAAAGAATATCAGCTATTGGACTCTGATCACTTCTCTCCATCTCCTGAGCCTTGGGTATCCCTCAGAAGAACAGAAAGTGGTCAGAATGTAGTGCTTTAATGTGAAATATACTGTTGTCAAAAAAAATAAAATGATAAAATTTGGAATATATGATCTTTGCATTAATAAAAATATAACCATTCCTGGGAGATGACTCAGTGGTTAAGAGCAATGGCTGTCCTTGAAGAGGACAAGGGTTCAATTCCCAGCAACCACATGGTGACTAAAAACTGTCCTTAACTCCAGTTCCAGGGGATTTGATGCCCTCTTCTGACCTCTGCAGGCATTGCATGATATAACACAGGTGCACTTATATCCATGTAGGCAATACATTCATAAACATAAAGTAAAAATAATAAATAATTAAAAACATACCCATTCCATTTTGTAGCTTGTCATAGCTTATTCTTGGAAAAAGAGGTGGCATCAAGGCATGAGCTAGCACCCCAGGCCACCTGGGGAAGGTGATACTGCTCAAAGCATCTCTAAGTACAGGTACAAAAATAAATCAAACATATAAAGGAGATAGATATATAGATATATAGATATGTGTGTATAATATATAACTATATGTATATGTTTTGCCTTAAATGCAGGATGCTTTCTTCATTGAAGCAGCAACCAAATATGATACACAGCAGCTCTTCCAAGCTCAAACGTTTTTTTCTGATATTTTCCTGATAACATTTCAATCTTGAAAAGGAATGATTTATTTTTTTCTTATATGATAAGCCCTTTTCTAACAAGTTCATTTTGAATTAACATATTGCACACATACTTATTTAGGGACATGTATGTAAAGTCTGTGCTTGTCCATGTAAGATAAGCAAAGAGCAGCATTTCTCAATTACAGTATGAAAGGTCTTTTGTATGTGAAATAATATTATGGATAAGGTTGATCAAAGAGGAAAAAATTGATAAATGCTTCAAATTAGTGATCAATTTTATTGTCCTTGAGATTACCTGGGAATAACACATCATGGCAGCACCAACACTGGAGATAGATTTTAAGGAAAGCATACCTAGTGTTACAAATGAAGATAGGGCAAGAAGAAGGTGGGAGTCTGTACTGACAGATTTGTAGAAGCCAAATCACTTACCAAAGAGGTTGAAGTCATACCCAGAGGGCATTGTTAACTCATTTCTTTCAGAAAGTCAATTTGAGTAGGAGAATTGTAGAGGAAGAAATTACAGCACTAAATTACAGTTTCATATAAAGACTCCAGATAGTGCCTCATGAACAAAATCAGAGTTATTTTTCAATCTATGTGTTTATTCTTATATGTATAGATATATGTACATGTACATGTACACACTATAATCTGGACATACCCATGAATTGGATAACTTGATACAGAACTGAATAGCCTATTCCATATGTATGGAACCTGGTACCTAAAGCAATAGATTAATATTATTGAAGAAGAATATGATCTAATATGATATATATGTATGATGAATCATCTAGTAGCAATATTTGGGAAGGAAAACAGTATAATAAAAGATATAAGTAATTAACATTTTGTGACTACAAAGGTGAGTGGGTTTTAGGCTGAAAGAGTCTATGTTATCACTAGAAAAACATATTGAATTTCAGTAGTGAGAAGGAAGTAGTGGTGTGGGCATACAGATGGATTATTATATTTAAAAGTATAGAGAGAGGAAATACAACATTCAAAGACATTTTTCCCTATTACTCATGAGGCACCAAATCCTCTCACAATTTTTTGAATTCAGGTAATTTGCAATAAAACTCCTCATGTGGAAGTGGGGTGTGATGGTGTATGCCTTTATCCCAGCACTAGCGAGGCAGAGGCAGGTGGATCTCTATGAGTTCAAGGTCAATCTGGTCTACATAGTGGGTTTCAGGCCAGTTGGGACTACAAGGAAACCTGTCTTAAAAAAGAAAAAAGAACACTCATGTTGAAAAGGACATTTCAAGAACTTTTATATGCGACTGATATTTTCTGTCGTTTTTGTTGCTTCACATTTTACATTTGTTTTTTTAGTTTGTTTTAGGAAAATTGGAAACATTTTCTGACTCTTATGCTACTTTTTTCTATTTCAGCATGTCCATCTTATTTATTTAATCTGTCGGCATTCTGAATAATTAAACCATTTATCTTTTTAAATGTATTTTATTGAACTTTTGTACATCTCATAATACATCTTAATCATATTTAGACCTCCTTCCCCATAGCCTGCCCACAGAGTTCATGCATTCTGTCATATATGTTAAGGCCTATTGAGTCATCTATGTGTATCCACATAGATGTCCCTTGGTGTGAGTTCATCCACTGGAGCCTGGTCAGCCTATCTATCATCACTCACTCCCTTAAAGAAGACAAACTCTCCCTCACCCAGCATTGATGAGCTGCTAATAGTTTCTTGGCTTAGATTGGGGACTTCTGGCCATTTTCTGAGTTTTATGCTGGGTTTTTGTCTGTAGAGTTTGCATGGGTCTTGTGTACATGTAACCACTGCTGTAAGTTCATGTGACCAGGTTTCCAGAAACCTGGGAGACTGTTTCCATCCTGTCTTTACTCCAGGAGCACAATGAGCTAAACACATCATACTGCTTGCCTCTGCCTTTGCTGCAATGATTCCCTTCCCATTAGTTATCTTGACTAATTTCAAATGATTGTTTATTTCTCTTAGATACATTAACTGAATTACTGCAACAAACAATAGTCACCATTTCTCATCTATTCTGATAAGTTTCATTGTAAACTTGACACAACTTAGAGTTACCTGGGGAGACAGAAATTCAACGGAGGAATTTACTAGATCATATTGACTGTGGGCATATTTCTAGGACATTGCCTTGATTGCTAATTGATGTAGGAAGTCTCAGACCACTATGCATGATTCCATCCCTAGGTAGGTGATCTGGGGCTGTATAAAGAAAGCTAGTGAGCAAATCAGAAAGCTGCTTGCACTCCTTCCCTGACTTCCCTCAATGATGAATTGTGACCTGGAAGTACAAGAGAAAACAACCCCTTTCTTCTCCTAAGTTGCCTTTGGTTATGATGTTTTATCACAGCCACAGAAGGAAACTAAAACACCCAAACAAAATGTAATGTAAGAACTTTTGATAGCTTTCCATCTGTATAACTAGTATTTTATTCTCCACACATAAACATAAGTGAACTAAATATATTATTGTAATTCTTGGCACATGCAAAATGCAGTAATGCAATATTTGAACATGTATTATGTTTCCCTTGAGTTATGAATTAATGTAGTACTATAAGAACACTGTACTGAAATTTTTCATACATGTGTATAAATAATAAATACACATGTTTAAATGGGTTATTGTTAGATATTAAAATCTTAGTTCAATCATCTCTTTGACCAATTAACTTTGAAACATACTTCAAATATTAACAAAACATGAACTTTTATCTGCATAATTTTGTGAGTGTTTTAGTAAAAAGAAAACATATGATTTAGACATTTCTTTTTAACACTTTTTTCAGAGAATTCATGACTTGCTTATTTCTCAAACTGTATATAATTGGATTTAGCACAGGAATTATGACTGTGTAAAATAGGGAGTCCATCATGTCCTGATCATCTACTTGTGGAGATGCAGGGCGCACATACATAAAAAGAAGTGGGCCATAGTATAAAGATACAGATAAGAGATGGGCTCCACAGGTGGAGAAGGTTTTCCTAATGCCCTTTTCAGACTTCTTTTTTAAAATGGTAAAGAGAACAAATGTATAAGAAATAAGAACAGTTATAATGGTAAATACTTGTATAGATCCAGAGAAAATAAAAATTATCAGGTAATTTATAGAAGGATCAGTACAGGAAATCTTTAACAGTGGTATAACATCGCAGTAAAAATGATGTAGTATGTTGAAATTACAGAAGGTTAATCTGAATATAAGGCATTCATGAATTATAGCATGAATAACACCACCTACATATGATAAAACTATTAAGCAGATGCATAGTCTATTAGTCATAATCACTGGGTAAAGTAAAGGTTTGCAGATAGCTGCATAGCGGTCATAAGCCATTGCTGCCAAGATAAAACATTCTGTAGTTACACCAATTGCAAGGGCAAAGAATTGTATCATGCATTCAGAGAAAGAGATCACCTTGCCCTGCTCTAAGAGGTTGAGCAGCAACTTTGGTGTCACCGTAGATGTTAACCAACTATCTATAAAGGCTAAACTACCAAGGAATAAGTACATGGGGGTGTGAAGGTGAGAGTCCTTCCAGATGAGAGTGATCAAACCAAGGTTCCCCATCATGGTGATGAAATATATTACTGAGAACACCAGGAACAGAGGAACTTTCCAAAATGGTTGACAGGGAAGACCTGTGAGTACAAACACTGTCCACAGTGTTGTGTTCTTGTTTTCCATGTCCCCTGAAATGAAATGTAATAAAGAAAAAATTGAAAGATCAGTCTTGAGAAAAATGATGTACTTTTTGAGTAGTTTTCGCTACTGCTACTCTTACTACTAGAGTTGAAGAAATAAGTTTGGGGAATTAAAAATTGTGAGATTTTTTTCCCACTCAATTCAGTGCAGTAATGTGTGGAAAATAACAGATTAAGAGAAATGAAAGGACTTCCAAGCTTGTAAATTCATTGAAAGCAAGAATGTCAATGAAAATTTATTGTCCTGGACATGTGTCAGTGCTAAAAAGGAAGCTATTAGAATACCCTGGATTACAAACTGAACTGAGAACCATATGAGGGCATTTGTACTTTATTACTTAAGGAAGAAGCTTCTAATGAGAATTGCAAAATGTGTAATGATTTGACAAAATATTTTAATTAAATATTTGCAAAAAAATGGCTTTAGGAAAGGAATTTTCAAGTCAGGGATCCTGACCAAGCCTTGACCATTGACCCAAGATTCACAAACCAGATTTTATTTTCAATGGTCCAACAAAATTTTTTATGAAAAATGTAGTTTATGCAGTACCACTTTAGCAATAGAATCAGTAGTCAAGTATGAATTAGGAAGATACATCCTGAAATATCTCCTCTAATGGGAACAGTAGTGCAGTACCTATTCATACATAAGCATTTGTATTGATGAGGATACGAATACATATGTCTAAAATAATCAAGATGTAATGTCAGGGGAATTCAGTTACACATTAGGAATTAAAGGCGGACAGAGAAGAAGAAAAAGATAACTTGGTGACGGAATCAGTAGTCACCCAAAAGAAAAGGAGAACTTCCTGGTCAATCCCTAGAAAAGCATCCTCTCAACATCCATGTAGAATGCAATTAGGACTATGTGTCACAGATAACTTATTTAACAATGAATTAATGCTATTAGAGTTGTTGGAAGCAAAATCATGGGTAACCCACTCATCAGAGAACATGAACAATGAGAAGGGAGAGAAAAAAATACCAAGGATATTGGTATTGAGGAATCTGTAATGTGAACAGATTTCATTAGACAGACATATATGAACCATTTTCTCAATCATGAATTTTTTTTTCCTAGTCAGAGACTGCTATTGACTCAGGAAGACCAAAGGGCTGCAAACTCAATTTCTCATGCCCCTTCTACCCACAAATAGCATGAGGGGACTTGATCTATGCTTCCTGAGTCAAACCCACATATACAAACAAGCTTGAATATGGTGAAAGATAGATAAAAACAAGGACAAAGAATGCCGGGATTGTGAAGGCAAACAAGCATTCATATCAGGACTTCACCAAATGCATGCTGCACCCACACCAACGGCACTTTCCAACTCACATGTAGCATCTAAGGTTCACAGCAATAGTAAGAGATCTTATTGAAATATTTTTGTGGCATGATCACAGCAGCTATTTTTCTGTCTTGCTTCCTTCAGTTTCTGCCCATTTTTTAATCTGTTCAGGGATACTATTTCCACTAAATAAATTCATTTTGTATCCTAACCAAAAGCCCTTGACTGAAGAAAAGAAACCAAAGAGATACCAAGGAAAAGATCCTGATTAGAGTGACCCTACAAGCAATTTGGGAACTAGAAATCTGAAAGTTGTGGTCATAAAGAGAAGGAAGATGATTGAAATAATAGAGTGAAGAATAGTGCCAAATAAGAATGTAAATGCTCTTGAGTATGCAGATTAAGAAAATTTTAATGGCTTTAATTCGAGCATTTTCTTTCATGTGACAGACTTATGAACAACATGTTTTAAAGTGTATCAGAGTAGAAATAACATGTGGGGAACAGTGAGAATTTACATACAGTCTGTAGTCAATGCAATTCTTTTTCCTGCATGTCAATTTAATAAAGGTTACAGAGAAGAAAAGGTGACAGAAATAATGTAAACTTAGGTAATAGAAGCTGAAAAGCATGGGAGGGAAGTTGCACATATGAACTTAGAATAGCTGTGACACCATGCACAAGACTTGTGCAAGCTCAATCCAGACAAAATCAATGTGGTGAGGGGAGGATAGCACAATGCCCCACCTCTAGTGGAGGAAATATTGGTAATTGATAACTCCTAGGAGAGGAAGAGTCCATTTTTCTTAGGGGTGTGGCCACTGGTAAATTGACCACAATTAAGTGGATGGTCCCACACCCAAGTACATATGGACAACACAATTGGACTGAATGAGTTTTATAAAAATGAGAATGACACAAAGTTAGGAGGGAAGGGAAGGGGATGTGGATCTGGAAGGAGCTCAGGAGGCAGAGTTAGTATGGTGAAAATATCTTATGTGAAATTCTCAAAGAACTAAAACAATTGAAGAAAAAAAGAAAAGATGGCAGATAGATATGCTCAAAATACATTGTATAAATAAATGTATGAAACTTTAAATAATTTAAAATTAAAAGAAGAAATAAAGAGAGAATGTGAAGTGCAGAGAATCAAAGGGAACAAAGAATCTGAGAAAGACTGAATATAGGTTAAGGGAAACGGCTTTGGATTTGGGATGCACATGCTTTCTTAACCCCAAAATTCATTAAGAACTGTTACTTAAGTGATTCTTTTCTTTATTAAATATGATCTCCCCTAGATTTTGAATATTAGATCTATTTTTAAACTGCTTTGGAAATCATGTGGTTTATATATATATCAACACTGATTTTTTTTTCATTCTTAAAGGTATTGAACTTTAAATATGAAGACAACATAAGGACTAATTATTTGTGGGGTGGTTCTTTGGTGTTTAGACAGGTTCTCCCTGTAGCCAGCCTGGAACTTGCTATGTAGATTAGGCTGGCCTTGATCTCACAGAGAACCTCCTGCCTGTGGCTCCTGAGTGCTAAGATTAAAGGTGTGCACCATCCAGGACTAATTTAAATAACAAACAGCATTCTCTGCACCACCAACAAAACAAGAATAAGAAACTATGGAAAGTGAAGTTTCTTGATATTAGTACTTCACTGTGTAGACATGTACATCAAAAACAAAAGCAAAATAAATTTCAAGTTCATGCAATATAATTCTTTTCTTTTAAATTTTATTTAAGTGTGTTTTAAATTTGTTTTTATTGAATATCTCAAACAACCATAATCATTTCTGTATGCCTGTCCCCATCAGCACCCTACCATAGCACCCTCATTGGAACCCATATACTCTGTCATCTGTGTTAAGGTCCACTGTGTCAAGTCAGTGCCCCCAGATGTTCCCCAGTGCAAGTCCATCCACTGAGGTAAAGTCGGCCTATCTAGAGTTCTTGTTTTAGAAAGATCAGTTCTTCCTTACATAGTAGTAAACAGTAGCCAATATTTTTTTTTAGCTAAGATCAGGGTCTGCTGTTCATCTCCCTTGGCTCTATGATGGATTCTTTACTGCCTGCATTTGGATGGGACTTGTGTATGCTGACACCACAATACAATTTTTATTTCATTTCTTTTTTGTTACAATGATTAAGATAGAATTGGCCTAAAATTGTGTTCAAATAGAGAGCACTTTGACCACTGCCTATTTCCTTTATGCAATTCCAAAATACTGGATACATAAAATCAACCAAATGTAGTTTGTATGTATATTTTTATTAAATCATAAATGCTGCAAAGATCAGAAAAATCCTATTTCCTGAAACAAACACAATTATATATGCATATATTTCATTTATACACATACATTAATAAAATATTTTCAGAATCTGGTAAAAGCATAAACCTAATATTTAGCTAACACTGAAATTTTTTATCAGAATGCATGTTTAACAAGATGGCTTATTTAATAATAGTCAAAAATATTGCTTTTATATATTATTATTTATTATTATTATTGTTTTAGTTGTATAATACAGGATCTCACTATGTAGCTCTGGCTGGCCTTGAACCTACAGATATCCACCTGTTTCTGCTTCCTGGGTGCTAGGACAAAGGTGTGAGCCACAATTGCTAAGTAAACATTTTTTATAAAAGAATCAAACTTTATTCTTTAAAATTATTTTTAAATTTTAAAGTACTATCTAATCCAAGTCATTATGGCTAGATAAATGATGATAAATACCTTACTACAGTGAACAAATTAGTCTCACAGAAGTGATATTTATTCAAATTTTAACACAAAAATAAAATTTGAAAATTCTGTCACTGTTTTGAGTCTTTTAACCTGGTTCCTTTGGAAACAATTCATCTAATTGCTACAAATTATGTAAATTTTTACTTATCATGTAAAGAATTTAAATTATACAAATCACTTCTGTCTTACCATGTATTTCAAGAGGCTGTGAAGATCTTGTAAAAGTATTAGGTTTTATAGAAGAGGAAAAAATACGTAATAGAGAAGACACTAAAACTAATAAATATTTTCATACTCTTTCATTTCAGAGGTTTCATCTCCTTATCTCAGTAAACGCTGCTTATATAAGATTATAGCATAAAAGCCAACCAATTTGTGACTTTGTGCTTTTGCCAAACTTGGATGGAGTGGAAATATGAAATTCCCTTGAGAACCAGAGGGCACCATGTAGGACAAAGGGAAGCTGTTCTATTGAACATTGAGAATCAGGGCATCTGAGAGGACTCTAGGTTGCCCTACAGGTACTTCAGATGCCTGGAATCCTAAAGGTCAAGTCACTACTAACAGGTCTAGTTAAGAGAATTAAAACCACCCTTTAACTGAATATTTTCTGTCAGACATGATACTTGTGACATGTATCATGAACAAATTTTAGTTCATTCATAAACTACTCTTGCCTTTACTTCTCCTTCACATCTCCTAGGCACCAGTCAAGGGCTTTCTTTTCTCTCTACGGTTAAGAGTTATAAAATTTGGGAGTCTTTTAGATAGACCCACTGAAGGGGTACTCCAATTACCTCACCTTGTGTCCCTCCCTGTTCAACCTGGAAGAAGCTAGAGCAGTCTGTGTCCCAATTCCCTATGAGCAATATGGGCAACCTCTTCAGAGGATGGTGTGATAAGAATAAGAAGAAGGAAACTTAACTG